TTTACTTTATATATACTTTGCGGAAACCTACATATTTTTGAGAAAATCGAGTTCTCTATATCTCTCAAGATGACTCATTAGTTTAACGTACAAGAAATGTTGTGAAGTTACTTTATAGAAACCCTGAGTTGTCGAGGAATGCTAATAACAGATGAAAAACGAAAAGAACTGAAACACAAAAATTACACGCGAAACAGTTCAATGAATGTTCGAAGAGTGAATACAATGTCCGGTTTTTGTGAACAGTTGTTGTCATCGATTTCTGATGGATATAAACACCTAATAAGTTGTTTGATTAATGGGGGTAGCTCGTAGATTTCTTTCTTTTTTGTTTTCAATTTTTGTTGTCGAATACCGAAGATGAGTTGATTTAGCTTGCAATCAATTTCTTGTCGCTGTTTTTGATCATGAGGCAAGTCGAGTGGATTTGGTTTGATTGTTAACTTTAATGATGATAACGGTAAATTGAGCGAATTTGCGTTTGTTGTTATTGCTAATGTTAAGAATGATCTTGATAGAGATTTTGGTGTACTAAAAAAAATGTTCTTATTCAAAAAACATTTATTATTTCAAGAAAGTCAGAAAAATTCAATCAATATCCACTCTTCTAGGATTTAGAATTTTCATAGGAACATTGCCAAATACGAACTACATACTCTGCAGATTTGCTATTTGTGCGGCTCTTGAGGTTTGTCTGATTTATATTATTCGAATCGATATTATCTGAACTGTCGGATTCATCGTCACTAAAATCTTCGCTACTTGTTGTAGTATGACATTCAGCTTCGTCATCATTTGTATTCGTATGAATGATAGATGAATCCACAGGATTCTGAGGCTTCAGAATTTCGATTAGAGCAGGTAGTATTATCACATTCTCTTTATCAAATGCGCGACATAATGCATTGTAACAAATGTTAAAATTATTCATTTTATCTACAAATCGTATAGAGAAAAAAAACAAATTCTTTAGAAAAGATATTTTATTCTTTTTCTAATCATAGAAAATATCTGAACAAAATGAAATATAATGATTCATGAATCAAAACAAATAAAAAAAAATATAAAAACAACTGTTCCATAGAAAAATATCAATATGCACCAGGAATATATGAGTCATCTAATTGATCATCTCTATTATCATCAACACTCATTCGATCACTTAGCGAATCAGATGTTTCTTCATTTTGTTTGGATTTTTGTACAGCTTTCCTTTTTCTTTTATGCTCATAATATATGCGACGTTCATCGAGTCTCTTCATGCCCACTCTTGTGAAAAATCCAGGGTTTCCTAAAACAAAAGACTACATTCTATTTTATAGGAAATTATGATCACTCTTTACCTGTTAATTCTGCTAGAACCGGTATTATTGACTGATAGCCATCATTATAAAATGAAACAGCCATTGCGACACAGAGATCAATCATAACACCTGTACTGTAACGGTTCTTGAGTGCTAAACTCCATAAAATAGAATGAAAACTTTCATTCGCGTTTTGAGAACCACCATTGAGAACTGTCTTCAAATTATCAGCTAAATAAAAAGGATTTGAAACCTATTTTTAATGTTTCGGTGTACTCACGATGAGCTAATTCTTCAAAAACCGGTCGAATTGCTTGCATTATTTTCAACGGCAAACTATGTGGCGTATGATCATACTCTTCACCTAATGATATAGAATGAGATCGTGAAATGAAATCGTAAAAAATCATCGATTTCTTTGTTACCTTTCTCTAATGCTTGTAAATATCCACAATAGCTTGGTGAACACCATTCATGATGTGGCTCTGAGTTCAAAGAAGACTACAATAAATTGTTATTTTCCTCATACGATTCTTCGTAAGTTCGCTTACTTTATGTTTCCAAATGGCCCAAACTGCACGCACCATATCATCGAGATTTGTTTTGTTTCTTACGATAGCTAGGCGATAATAATGTTTAAAGTTAATCATCATTTCTAGAAGAAAACTTAGGAATTAGTTAGATTATTAGCAGAGTCATCACTAACTTTTAGTCATTCGACCCGAACCACGTATACCAAGTTTACCATCAATATTGGTTTTTTTCAGAGATTCTGCAATCTTCTGAAGACGATGCAACATCTTTTTTGAAAAATGATTCACGTCTTCTATCTTTGTAATCGATACATCTTCGTATGGAGGATCACTAATTAGTTTAAGAAAGACTTTTGCATCTCCATCTCCGATATAACTAAAACTAAAGAATGCACAAAACAAAAATTAATACAACGTTATCTACTGTGCATATTTTACGTTGCACAGCATTTTGGAACGTGCAAATAAACGATGAATTCCAGCAACTTCCATGGATGCTAAAAGAAAACAAATTGGTATTTTAGAAAAAATAAAATGAATCTGTACCGGATGTGCCGACGTGATTTACTTCACATTGATGTTTATTTTTAATTTCTGAATATTTTTTGGATCTGAATATTTAATGCTCAGTAGACCTGTACAAATCGAACATTTCTTTGATAATCGTTCCAAATCTAAAACCTAAAAAATTCAAATGACAACGTATACGATATATTTTTATCAAATGTGTAATTTTGCAGTAGGTCCATTAAACAAAACTTCTACGACTCCATGTAAACTTGAAAAGCCACGCTTTTGCCAAGTACCATCGCCACTAACAGTAATTTTACGCCCATTTGATTTCTTGCAAGCTTCTTCGACAGCATTTTTCATTGACCGAAGCCTGTATGATTCAAATGTTGGAAGTAAATAATCGAGGGTATCAGAAAAATGATCTTCATCAATGGGAAGTGGTACGTTCAATATAGCACACAGCTTGGCGAGGCCTTGATGACCAATACCGGGAAAATTCGCACCTAAATATTAGATAAAATTATCGATTACTGAATTTTTCAGGATAAACTTACCGATTACACTCCTAACATTGATATCTCTTTTAGAAGTATTCGGGCATTGTTTAGATGTATTAATTTTAATCTCATGAGAGCAGCAACATGTAAACAACAATGAGCAATATAATTCCGTAATATAAATGTAATTATTCATTTTTGCTAGAGAGAAACTAGTAAAAATTGTACCTTCTCGTTTTGCAACAGACATATCACCATTCCATATTAACTTGCACGAGGCACAAACTGTTTTTTTCATTAGTTGCAACAAAAATGAGTTGTGAATTATTTGATAATATTCATGTATATTATTATTATCATCTGTACCTTTTTGTTTAAGAAAAGCTGTTAGTTTCTGACACGATGGACCAGTAAATGTACGTGTTTTATACGTGAATTGCTCATTGCTAATTGACTGACTTTTATTAGAAATAAAATAAGTTTGTAGTTCACGTGTATTTTTTCTAACAATGTTAATGATTTTTCGTGATTTGGAAGTATTTCGAGCCAGTCGGAGCTGTTTCTCTTTTTTTAAAGCCGAAGAGCGTGTCATTGCAGATTTAAGGTAATAAATCTAAAAATAAAGAATTCATAATGCGATGTCAACGAGAGAGTGTGAGATGTGTAGCATATAACCCGATGTGTCTTGTTACTGAATGTTATCGAGATAAGTTCAATATTTTGTTAAATTTACCTCAAGACCTATGTGTATCCAATACATGTCTTACTCGAGAAATAAAAGAGCAATAGCACTTGACGATAGTAGATGGCGTTAGTTGACTTCATTTGTAGCACTCTCTATGAGGTGTAGCACGAGGCTCATTCTGAAAAGAGATACTTTTTTTAATATAGTCTGCTGCATTTTCTTAAGCGTAACTAGTTAATGCATCCTATAGCTACTTATTGATTCGTATAGCTACTTAATGGATCTTATAGCTACTGAATGAATATCACAGCTACTTAATGAATCCTATAGCTACTGAATGAATATCACAGCTACTTAATGAATCCTATAGCTACTGAATGAATATCACAGCTACTTAATGAATCCTATAGCTATTGAATGAACATCACAGCTACTTAATGAATCCTATAGGTACTTAATGGATCATATAACTACCGAATGAATATCATGAATATCATAGCTAGTTAATCGAATACATAACTAATGACTAAATCTTATAGGTACTGAATGAATCTTATAGCTACTAAATTAATCATATAAGTATTTATTTGTTTGCATAGGTACTTGTTGATTCTTGTGCTTATTTAATCGATGTGATAATAGTTCCACTGTTTTTGTCACTATTAAGAAATCGTATAGGCACTTAAATTTTAATGCAGGTTTTCCTTATTCAGGTACTTTTGAAGGATGATATATGTAGCTGAAAATTGTAATAGTTATCGGGGGTAGTAAAATGGTATGAAATAAAGACAATAGTAATGTAGCTGTACTGATACAGCGTATTATTTTGAAGTGACTCATTTTCGTAAATTTATTAAAAAGAATTCCAAGTCAATATTATGTTACTGCATTCATTGTCTTTACATCGAATTGTGTATAATTGTTTATTTGTATGTAAGATACTGTTCCACCGGAATGTGAATAATCAAAATAGGCACGCGAGTTCTATGCTGTTCAGCATCTACTGACTGTTTATTTTATTATATAAAAATAAACAAAAAAAAACAATAACGTATCACATAACATATAGAAAACAAAACGAAAGACAATAGAGGCAAAGATGAATGACCATAGAGGTCAGTTCCTGACACCCTTACCCCTCAAAAAGTTTTTTCAAACAACGAGAGAAAAAACTTGTAGAGAGAAAAAAAAATCGACCACCCAACAAAGAGAAAGCTTTGACTAGAAGGAGAGAAAAACTCAAGTCAACACCAAAAAAAAGAAGACCAAGTTAACAACAAGAAAAGAAGACCAAGTGTAACAACAAGAAAAAGAACCAGGTTAACCAACAAGAAAAAAAAACAGGTTGACCAAGAACAAATCTTAATATTAACGATGTTGAGGTTGACGATGTTGATGATGTTGATGATGTCGATAATAATTTTTTTTATTAAATAAATCGCTAGGTAAACGAGCGAAATATAGATCGACCAAAGACGATCGTTTCATCCCAATTGATACAACTTGGGATGATTTATCAAGTTTTAAATGAACATATCGAACATCACGTTGACGAAGGATATGTTTGAGCTGATGAAGCTTGAATCGATGATAAACGAGACGATAATTACAATGTCGATCTCGATATGAACGTTTAACTACATTGCGGCGATAATTACGGCGGATGCGTGATGATAAGGACCGACATGTGTGACGTGATTTAGGTGGTTCACGTGTAGCTAATGTTTGAAGGACCGGTATAGGTTCGATCGGAACGATATCAGGCACTATAGCCAATTCTATTTGAACCGGACGAATTAGATTATTTAATGGATTTGTACCATTAATACGAGAAATAGATGAAACAAATATTTCTTCATCTTCATCCTCAGAAATGTCTTCTAATAGACTTGAAAATGGAATTGCATTTTCATATGCCGAAACAGTTGTTAATGAACTTGATGACGATAATGATGACGAATGAGGTAGAGCATTCGAAGTAAATAGTGCGGTTAATTTTGCTTCCCGAAGTTGAATTAATGACCATTTATCATAAATTGCTTGATGTAAAAACGTAACGGCAAAGCAATCATAACTTGCATAATCGATTCGTTGGCGTTGTTCATACGTTGATAATGATGAATAATTGGGATCGAGCATCATGCTCCAATTTTTTCGTGTTGCTGATTTATCAAGAAAAAGATTAGCCGTGTACCGTATCGCGTTCTGTAATGACCATTTTTCTCCAGGATTAACATAAGGAGAAGCATTTGAACAAGTACATGAATAATTCGAAGACATAACCGTAAACAATAATTGAACCGGACAACAAACCTTGCAAAAAGGCTGTGCCCTACTATACCAACCAGGAAATGCATCTTGTAAATTAATCAATAATGCCAACGAGGGCCATGTAAATAAATTCATACGAATAACAGATTGTAATTCGGTGTTCATCGATCCCCAAGAAAAAATCGTATTGCCTAAACGAAATAAAAAACGAAATAACAAATTAATTTTTTCAAATAATAATGTATTAGATGAAGGAAGATGATTAAGTTCAAATAATACAATAAATGATGGTAGATGTTGAGGAATAGAATGAACTTGAATAAGTGATAATTCATTTGTAAATCGATCAGATTCAGTGTCGATCGAATATCGATAACATGATTCAAAATGATTAATCAATGTAGAAATAGTATCAATTGAAGTAAATCGATGAACATGTACAATATTGTAAAATGATGATGGAATTGTAAATGGACGATAATTGCGTCGATAATGATTGTTTTGTTCTTCCAAACGAACATGACGACGATGACGATTTTGAGATTTACTATTTGAATCACGATTGGAATTTGTTGACGTGTAACTAGATGAAGACGTATGAGACGGCATAACACCTAATACATTAACAATAAACAAACAAAAAAAGTCAATAATAACAAACAAAATTATATAATAGTGAAAATCACTTTCCAAACAACATTATATAATAGGGAAAATCACTTTCCAAACAAAATAAAAGAAGAGAGAGAAAAGAAGAGGAAAATAAATAAATGGATAAATTCCAATTAACCAAATCGTGGTATAACTTGGAATAAAGAAAAGAAGATACAGAAATAAAGATAGAGAGCATGAAACATAAACATAGACAATAATGGTTAACAAATACAACCAACCAAAAACAAATTTTTTTTTGCTATCGCAATAATATCGGACGCATATCATTCACATGTACACGAGTGATTTGATCATTCATTTGATCTCGAACCCAATATGTTGGATGTTGTTTTTGTATAACAATCTTCGGGGTTAATGTAAATTGTGGATCTAATTTTGATCGTAAACCATGAATTCGA